CTCATTAAAAGGTTTATATTGTCTCCATAATGTCAGATATGTCAGGACGCCAACTTTTGCCGTTCCCATCCAGCCTCTCGGACACCTAAATAAGACAAAAATAAATACACCCCCTGTTCACTGAGGGGATGTCATCACCGGCCCTACAGTCAACACAGAAATGGTCTCCATGGCTCGGATGGTCAAGAAACAAACAAATCCATGACCTTCGCCGACTGTATCTATGACTCGCGCGTCCCATACCCTAACCATGCTCCTAACAATTCACCAAAGTTATTATAACCCATTATTCCTCCTTGCTACCATTCTGGGCTTCTGTAGAAATGTCGGCCTTTGAATAGATGCTATCGCCGTCATCGCCAAACAGAGGCTGATCTCCCTTGCCGCCCATCTCCACGAATTCGTCAACGTTTCTTTGTGACGCAGGGTCGGCCTCCTTCGGTGTCATGGTCGTCTTCGTCGTGTTCTTGGAATAGATCTTGACTGGTTTCTGCTTAGGGCCAGGGGATCTTTCCGCAACTGCTACCGAGTTCATTGAGCTGAGTAGTGTCCGCTCTCTGACGACACCGCGGCGATGGACTTCTAAGCCCTGTATGCCGCCCACCAAGCCGTCGGTGCTGTCGTTGACTCCTGGTTGCTTCTGCGTCATCCAGGGGTGGTTGAGGCATTGGTCAACTGTAAAACGACGCTCGGGATCAACTACCAGCATTGAGTCGATAAGGTCCACTATCATAATGTTAGTCATGACGCATCGTTTTGTAGCGCTTCTGGGTCACCTACGAGCAGGGTCGCCTACTGAGTCCCAGTATGGCGAAGGGTAATCGAACCGGCCGCTCTTGATCTGTTGCGACAGCGTGAACGGGAAGTCCTTGGAATACAGTTCGTCTGAAAACGGCGGGAAGCCGCACAGGCAGATGTAAAGGACAACTCCGAGTGACCAAATGTCGACAGCCTTGGTGTACTTCCGGTGCCTACCCTCGGCCAAGATTTCAGGCGCCACATAGCTGGGTGTTCCGCACAGCGTCGTCGTGAATGACTCTTCACCAATAATTTTAGCCAAACCGAAATCAGCCAGCTTCACGTGCAAGTCTCTGTCGACCATCAGAATGTTCTCTGGCTTAATGTCCCTGTGGACAATGTTGCGATCATGCTTCTCAAAGTTAGCGGGCGGAGGACATCAAATGTCGTCGCAAAACTTACCAGGTACTTGATGCCCTGGAACAATTGCGTAAAGAGTTTGCGCGACTCATCCTCGGTAAGCTTTTGCTTCATGACGATGAAGTTGAATAGTTCGCCTTCCGGAGCCAGCTCGAGGACAAGGTACACCGCATTACGTTCGTTAAACGTGTCTTTCAAGCATAGAACGTTGGGGTGACTAACGCCCATGAGAACGGCAATCTCCTGTTGCAGACCCTCCTGTTTCGATCTCTCCTCCATGCCGGCAGTCTTTGTGAAGATCTTGACGGCGTACCTTTGACCAGTAGATTTTTCGACACAAAGGAAGACCTCGGCGAAGTGGCCCTTGCCAAGTTTCTCCAGTAGCGTGTACTGCTGAAGAAAAGCGCTCGTCTGCCGGCTCTTGGGGTATCTGAAGATGAAACGAGCCTTGTCGAGCACCGCGATCTCGTCCTGCTCCTGGAGCTCTCTGCGCTTGTTGCGACCCACGTTGGCTTCATTGACATAAGTTCCGTTGCTAGACAAATCCTCCAAGATAGCCACGGTGTCACCGCCTTTGTTCTCCGTAAATAACAGGCAGTGTCGATTTGATACCACCGGGTCTTCAACAACAATGTCTGCCTTTTGTCAGCGCTGTCGTAACCCCATTAGAATGGAACCCAATTCGCAAAGCTTACCACACTCCGGATGACGTCCAATCAGGTATCCACCCGAGGCGACGCCCTTGATCTTGGTCTTTTCGTAGGCCTCCTCTTCCTTCTTCAGGGGCGATTTGCCCTTCCTATCTACCGGCTCCGTCTCCTTAGCCTCGAGCTTGTCCGGCATAGGGCATGCTGCCCTCTTCTTCATGACCAAGCACTTGCCGTACTTGGTGTCTAGCGGGAACAGGTAGCCCCAGACGCCCTCCTTCACCTCGTCCTCGACCTCGTCACATAGCACATCCTTGTTATCGGCCGGGTACTGGGAAAAAGCCTGTGTGTCCTGTGGAGGTGAGGAGAGGTTGGTGTGTGCCTGGGACTGGGAGTTGTCGTCCTTTTCGCGGTGGTTAACCTGGCTGGGGCGACCCTCGGGAGGCGTCGCGGTAGGCTCCTTATACACATCGTCCGAGTCTCCGGATCGCGTCACGGGCGACGGAAGGTGCTGTTTGTGGGAAACCGGGGTCTTATCGACGGATAACCTCTCGGAGCGGCGGGGCTTCTTCGCCTCCGTGTCTGAGTCTGGCAGAGAACCCTTTGCCAGGGGAAGACGGTTTAGGATCGCACACCAGAAGGCCGGGCAGATTAACAAGCGACTCACTCTTGGACGTTTCAATTGGCTCTTCTCTTCGCGCGGGGGCGCCATGGCCTCGGTTATACGAGGCAGTCAAGGCGTGCTTCGCGGGTGATGGTGGATTGGTAGTGGTATTGAGAGGCAGCAGTAGAGACGTAATAATGGATCCCCAGGTAAGATGATGTGGCGATGGTCTGTATAACAGGCCGAGAAAGGATAGAGAAGCGGTCTTGTGCACAACAGCCTGGGGTATGATGTGTACGAGCGTGAATATGGAAACTTGTATGATGGAACTGTGGGAGTGTTGCCTAAGGGAGAGCAGATGGCGAGGCTCTCATTAATAAACCAGAGTGCAAGAAAGGCAAGGCCAAAGGACGGAGCGACGGTGTGCAGCCTGGAAATGGGAAAGCTAAGGTCAGGTAGGTAGGTGGTGTAGGTATTCGTATTGGACCGGGACTTCCAAGTGGAGAGGGAACCTTCCTTCCAGTGTTGGACCTTGGGCCTGGAAAAAGTACCAGACAGCTGAGGTGACCAGGGGGGATGAGAGACCAGGTCAGGCCAGTATGAGCGGTAGAGCTGAGGCAGGTACTGGTGTGAGCACCAACTACGCCGGCACCAGGCGCTGCGCCCTGCCCTGTGAGGTGCGAGCTACCCTACCAGGTCAGGACCTCCCCTGCTTAGGTTCTCTGGGGCGGCCTTCCACCTGCGCTGGACGGCTGCTCGGCGGACTGGGCTGGATTTCCCAGGCAGGAAAGAGTCAGACAGGGCTTTCCTCACTTCGGATCGGGGGCCGTGCAATTGCAAGTGGGTCGCCGCGCTTTTGACTCTTCACGCTGATGCTCTGATAGGGATTGTATGACTGCACTGCGCAGCGAGCGAGATGTCAACTTTCTGGCGCGAGTTGCAGCCTAGAAATGCGGTCCATCGGTTGTTCCGCATACAATCCTTTGTGTACTTCTCATGAATATCAGCTCCCCCTCTCCTCCACAACCGTCTGATGAGTGTGGCAAACAATAATCCGGAAAAACTCACCAGCAGTTTCCAAACTTCACTGTCTTCCGGTTGTCCAAAACCTGGAGAGCGTGCCATCCAGATCCACGGGCGACAATCAGCGGGCTTGCTTCTGGGGCGTCCCGTCTTGCTGGGCGTGCAGTGTGGGCACCGGTTCGCAAGCCGAGTGAGCGAGCAGTGACGACGGGGAGCTGCAGGGTCGCAGAGCCTCCTGCGGGAAGACGTCAGGCGGGAAAGAGGCTTGATAGAGGGGGAAAAAATGCTGGTGGAACTGTCGATCAGTTCAACATGGGATCGCGCAGTCTCGGAGGAAGAAAAAAAAAAAAAAGGGTCCCTCTTTCACTCCGACTTGCACTTGAACCTCGATCGTGGCAGCCGAGAAACCACCTGGGACACATCGCCGCGTGAGATGGCGTCCAGCCTTCATATGGTTCCCGTCCGAGTCGTCTTCCACGAAGTGGCGGGGAACTCGTTCGTGTCTTGTGCCCATCCCGTCTGCCGACTACCTCACACTAGGTCGAACACCCGCAGATGATAGCCCCCATGAATCATTCGGTGCATTCTCCCCCAAGCTACAAGGATCGAGATTCCGACATTCTGGTCAGCCAGCTGCTTTTACCCCCTGCGGATGGAAAGCTCCCTTTAGTAGAACCCGTTACTGGTTTGACAGGACTTGGTTCTGGTTTACCATCCGGTGAAACGCCTTACGCGAACTCCCGTGCTGTCATCTCGAGTCGCCGTCCGAGACATATCGTCACGCGTCGTTCGGAGGGAGCACCTCAACTGGTCCCAGCCAGAGAGCGAAAGCCCGCCATCTCTCATCACATGCGTGCTCGTGCGGAATCTTATCTCCATTTTCAACGTCGCGCTGCTTCGCCTGCCGCGGAGTACAGCCATAACGCTAACCTCGAGACGTCATCCACATTCGCCAATCCACGTGGGTAGCTCACCTGCCACAGGCTGCGATCTCCTTCGTAGAGTTATCCCCCCTCACCGAGAGTCACCGAAAACCATTTGATCTCAGATCGGTCCAGACCGATCTGGAATTTCATCCCTAGTGTAAAGCATTCGTTGTGTTCATCATTTCATTATTATTACTATACACACTGATAAACTCATGCGCACATCGAATATCACTGTCTCTCAGCACCTCGTCTTTCCAATAGAGGACTACTACTCCAACGTGTCTGCTTTTTTGCAGACGTCTGTCGCCAAAGAGCATACATGCTGCATGTGAGAAACTGTTTCTCTGATCCATCTCCTGCTGTGCGACGACCATGGCAATTCATTCGGCAAAAATACCAGACGCGCAAAGCGTACGTCAAAATCTGGTAACGACAGTCGGGTACGCCAAGCGTTTCTCCCATGACCTGGCCAAAGCCGATATGCCCTCGTGTATCATTGCACTTTTAATAGTCATCCTCATCCGTTGAAGCCTGTTTCCCACCAAAGGAGTCATCATAACTGGAGCCGCGTTTAGATGCTGGGTATGCAAACGTGAAGCACATATCAAAGTGTGCCAGTCGATCGAGACGGGCAGGTCGCTACCTTTCCGGAATCGGACTCTTGGCCAAACGGCCTCCTGCGCTCACTCGCTTCTGCAGACGCGATTCCCTTTCGCGCGCTAGCTTCTGGTCGGGGCTCATATTGCCAGGGAGCGTCCCGACAGTATCGCTCGAAAATCCCGTGTTTCTGCCCCGTTTCTCTTCAATATACAATTGAGCGCTTCGACTCAGGGGGAATGCAGGCATCGATGAAGGTATTTCCGCCCCGTTTTGAAGAAGCATCTCGGCGACTGGAAATGGCACCACCCTCTCCGCCTCCGATGGTTGGCCAGGGGTTGGTGAAGGTGATGCCGGATCAGCCGCTGCTAGCGCCAAGAACACTGCATGCGTACCCCTCGAACGATCCGTAACGTTAGGACTGGCCTTGAGAGCCAATGCATAAATAACCTGCTGGATTTCATTCTTCTTGATCGCCGCCAGCAAAGTGTCTTCGGGTGTAGGGTAACGAGATAATGTCGCCGAGATGGGCTCAATGTACGCTCTATCCACGTACTTCGCCGTGATGAACCTCAGCCGCTGCTCGCGCGTTGCCTGGGGTCCAGGCTTCATGCCGGGCTCGAGCTTTGCCTCCCAAATCATATTCGACACCCGGTTTCCGACAAGCAACAAGAGTTCGACAATATCGGGGGTGAAAGAGTTGATGTCTAAGGTCAGAGACCTCACTTTGCTGATATGCGTACCAAGAGAGCGATGGATACCGCTACACTCGATGCAAACAATGATTGCCAGATTGATTGAGACCCACTCGACCTTGGTTCCGGATCCGCAGTCCGCGCACCAGCAATTGCCCTGGTCGTTGTCGCGGAGTAGTTGCAATAGCTTATCAGGGTTGTCGTCGTAACTCGAACTGGTAGATCGATGAGTGCTTGGCCGGGCGCCGACAGTTATTCGGCGCATCGGCGCACCGCTGTTGGAATGCGCATGGTGGCTGTTGTGCCCGACTGAAGGGCTCTTGCCCGTCAGGATGGACCCAATATCCTTCCTGATAGAGCCCGAGTCGGAAGCCCCAGGCCCGGATTTATCTCTGGCAACTCGGCCTTCAACAGCGCTTTGGAGTGCATTGTTGATAGCTAAGATCCAACTGTTCATGTCCTCTTCGGAAGTGGCCTGGTAAACTCGCTTATAATGTGGCGTAATGACTTCAAAGCAAAATCGACGCTCAGCGTTACGGGCTTCTCTCACAGAGGCCATTCTCAAATCGATTGGATCCATGTGAAGATCCAACCTTTGCTTCCAGTTACTGTATTCTGAAAGCTTACCCTGATCAAGTACAATCCAAAATCTACATCACGTCAGTATGGGTACATCCGCCAAAACTTTGGGCAGTGCTTACTTGTGCCAGCCCTGTTGCTTCAAATTGCGAGGGTCAACATGGTTGCCGGGCTTGCTGAGAGACCACAGCAAACCTTCCTTGCGCTGGGCACTGCTTGCACTTGACGTTCCGTAATCTTTCTCCTCCAAGTCACGGATGCCTTTGAATTTAGAGGCCTGTGCAGGGCTTCCAACTGAAGATGCGCCCAGACTGCCTGGAGACCTGGACAACTCGGGAGAAACTATGGCCACGGTCGAGTTGGATCCGGAGGTCAGTGCGACCTTCAGTTGGGAGCCGGTACTGTCGGCTCGACCAAGGTCGCTGTCGGAGACGTACGCGTTTCCGTTTGAGCCCGCGACTTGGACTGAGCTAGTGCTGGCCAACGGGACTGGCTCCGGCTCATTGTAAGTTTGGTTGCCCTTTTCCAGAAGTCGCCTCTTTTCCTCTCGCTCGCGCCTCTGGTATTGATATTCTTTATCAGCCTCTTGAACCTCATTCGACAGCGCCTCCAACTGCGGCACCAAAGTGTCGATTTTCTTTGCGGCCTCCAAGAAGGTCCTCGTTTGGGCATCAGCATATCTTGTGAGGTGAGAGAGAACCTCTTGCTCCTTGCGTCCACCATGAAGATCCTGCATGAAGCTAGAGTAGTCGAACCGCTTAAGCTCAAAGTTGCGGCGTTTCGTCTGATACTTGGAGTCGCTCTCCGCAAGCTTCTTAGCCTTGACCGAGTCGTGGCGCTGGCCAAGATATCGAGAAACGTAAGCGTAGTAATCCTTGCTCTCCTCCTCGAAGTCTCGCTTTTTGGATTCAGCCTGTTTGATATCCACCGTGTAAAATTTGTCCAATGGATCAATGACAATGCGTTTGAGATTGACGGTATTCTGTCGCTCGTAGGACAGAATTTCCCTGGCAATTTTGTCGAAGTAGTGCTCAATTGCTGGCTGAACAGCATTCGCATTTGTCGATGATGCTTCACGGAGTGTATCGATGAATTCGGAGAAGTTCTTGTTGGCTTCCACCTGAGCTTCATGCGCCTGCTTAGCCATCTTTAGCACGCGCTTCATCTGTGTTCGCATGTTGCCCGTCTTTTGTTCCAGCGCTTTGATCGTTGCCCTGAAAACCGGCCCATCGTCTGGCACAAGAACATCGTCGGTTGGTTTCGGGCACGCAACATCAACCTTCACAGGCTCCTGGGCTAGGGGTGGCTGTACGGGGAGGAGTGTGGACGAAGACGTGTTGACCGGCAAGGGTGAAGAGGGCTCATCTAGCTCGGCGTTGCTAATGCGGGAATCGACAGACTGTGAGGATGCGACACGGATTTTGGGGGGCGCGGTCAAGAGGAACGGAGGAGACGGCGAGTTCGGGTGGCTCAGCGGCAGAGTGGCGTCTACGGGTGGTCAGTCACGAGCCGCAGATGTCGTCCGGGGATCACGAGAACTTACTTGATACCCAATACGAGAAGCTGGCCAAGGTGTGTAGCCGGTGAGCGCGGGGGTCGTACTCGACGAACTGTCGCGGGATCAGATACTGCCACAAGTGGGAGGCACGGCGGCCAACGTACGCTGCATGAGTTCCTCCATCCACCGCCTCTGTCTTCAATGGGCTTCGGAGGTTTCCATTTCCAAGTCCACTCGAAAGAAACCGAGGCGTGGCCTCCGGTCCCAAAGTCCCCTACCAGTTCAACATTGGAGTTCTTGTGTAGATTCGGGTCGGCATGGAATTCGCGAGTAACGAGGTTCTCAACCTCGCGGGGGTTAGAGGCGTACACGTAGGTCAGTCCGCTGATTTGGGTGTCGATGTTGGCTATGTTATCGGTGGCGCCGCTGGTAACAAACTGCTGTCCCTGGCGAATGATAAAGGTAAATGTGAAGACTAGCTCTTCGTCATGTGTGAGTTTGAGGATGAAATTCGGAGCGCCGCCTGGGCTAGTAACAACTTCGGTGTCCTGCAAGGCGGCAGTCAGTGTCTGGTGCCCGAGACGAGGCTGGAAGGTGTTTTTGGGCATGGGGGAGCCTATGATTTGCGCCGACGAACCTGAATGAATTCTATGGGACTACTATCGCCGAGGGGGCGAGAGGCGGATACTCTGGTGGCAGGAAATGCATTGGGAACAATGTTTATAGAGGAACGCCTTTTTGGGTTCGAAATGACGAGGGAGGATATGGTTACTATTCAAGAGAGAGCAAAAAAGTCAGTGGAAAGCGACTGCGATGCGCCGCCAGGCTGCGTGCATGAACAGCAAGCAGGGCAGGCGGTGCAGGTATGGGACTGAGGGAGAGCGCACGTCGATTCTGGTCTCTTAGAAAGAGAGTCGCCCCGTCGTCGGGCTTGCTGCTAACGATGCCCATGTTGAGATGCTCATCCGGGGGTCAAGTGCGCATTCAAGAGGAGAAAGTCGAGGTTTCGGCAGCCAAAGGAGAGCCGCTGGAATCGTGGGCGGGCTTCGCAGCGCGGGGTCGCAGGTTGGCCAGGATCGTGGACATTTGGCGGCGCAAGACAAGGCCAAGCCACAGCCACGAGGAGCCTGTACGAGAATGTGGACTGGGCGGCCAGCTTTGAGACGCTGGAGGCGACGACGGCCTGAGCGGAGGGGAGAGGGTGAGAGGGAAGACTGCGACGAGAGGGCGGGGAGGCGTGGACGTGGGCGTCGGCGGCGTCGCTTCGAGTAGGCAACGGGAGCTAAGATGACAACGATGGCAGTAAAGTAGAAGTGTAAGTGGAAGAATAGAAGAAAGGGGAGAGCATGAGGGTCATGGAGATGCGAAGGTTGAATGTTGCGATATCAAAAGAGGAACTGGGCTGCGGCATGTCTGCCTCAGAGGCCTGCCACTGCCACTGGTGCGTCTGACTTCTTGGTGCTTGTGCTGCTCCTAGGTAGGTGTTCTATTCGCTCGGCGGGCAGTCGTGGGTACTTGGGAAATATGCAAATTCAAGCATGAGCGGGAGGTAGCATGTACCTTGCAGCTTCGCTTTCTCTCTCTCCTAGGTTCCTCTCACTGTCACTCTCTCTCTCTCTCTCCACACGCACAGCTGGACAGGCACCAAGCAGGGCACCTTGGCTTTTTAGGAAAGGGTGCCAGGGACTCTGGCTAGCCGGGACGTGGAGGGCCACAGGAAGGAGTCAAGGACGGGACTCAGGAACCTCCCCGTTGTGACGTTGAATCAAGCCCACTCCGGGCTCAAGGTTGGCAAAGACGAGATTGGCGCCGATTCACATTTATCCCGACCCCTGTCCACTTACCTACCTGCTGCGTACCTAGCAGGTAGTACTGCGGATACAGGCTATGATAGACCTTAAGGTGAGGTCCTCCGTCGTCTGCACCGGTCCTGACTCCTGCATCAAATTCGCTATGCCTAGCGTGTGATTTTTGCTAGGAAGGCAGGCTTGCGATTCCAAATGCTGGGCATCAATCACGCTCATCTCAGGGACGCTATGCGCGCGCACGAGTAGGTAGGTAGATCGCAGAATCACCACCACGGCGGCCTCTCATTAGCGATCTCGCGGTGGGGTCAGCAGCACAAATGTCCGTCAACAGTGACCGCAGCACATGGGATCACCACACCACCTGCCCTGCACGTTGAAGCGCTCCAGAGAAGCTGACTGGACGACGCCCCTCCGCCGTCTCCCCTGCCCGTCGTCGTTGCCCCTCCCGACTTGGGGAAGCGAAGCCAGATGCAAGGACGCTCGACAGTCGCCTTACCTACTGGAACGAATCCAATTGCTTGTCTTCGAACTCGCTGTGAAAAAGGGAACCAAAAAAAAAAAAAAAAAAAAAAAAAGCGATGATGAACGGCTGCTCACAGACCGAGTCGCGCCAAGACAAGAACAAAAGACAAAATCCGTTCACCACATTCCCTCTTGCTGCACCAGGGAGGAGGAAAAGGGGCCAGATAGATACGTTTCGAAGGGACGCCTGCGCAAGAGGAGGGGTTTTGGAGAGGGGCTTCCCAGTCGGCCAGACCACCAGCGTAAAAGTCAATCGCTGATCTTTTGCCAGCATCATTTCGCGGCTTGCAGCACAAGAACCACTCCTCAAATCACCTCACTCTTGTTTGTTGGATTAGCTTTCACCCAATGGGTCAAACGGACCTGGGTCGTTCAAACTCGGCACCGGCAGCAGCCCACGCGACCTGAGGAACAAACACCTCGTTTCAGAGTCCTGCGTGCCCTCCCTTTGGATGCTTCTGCTGCTGCTGCCGCTGCGGTAGAAGATGCTTCTGCGCGCGAGAAACGTGCGACGGACCAAAGTCAAAAGCCCTGCCAGCCAGTAGTTCCTGCGCAACCGCCTGGCCGGTGCGAGCTTATGCGACGTGCCGCCTTGACGATGCCGCATGCGACTGACTCCGAATGACTCCTCGCATTTCACCCTGTGGACCGTCACCTATTGTTGGCGTTTCCTCAATCAAATCGCCAGCCCAAGTCCTCGGCCGGCCCGCGACCACAGGACCACAGCCTGTGACGTGACAATGCCTCTTTGGGTGAACTTGGGGTTGGGCATCTCTCCTTTGCGCCTTATTGCTGCTCTGACAGCCGCATGCAAACCATGTGTGGAATAAATAACAGACCATGCAATCCCCAGTTTCCCAGCCTCCGGCAAGGAAGATCCTCGGACAAAATTGGGACGGACCTGTTAGCTCGTCGACGGGATTGGGGAGGTCGCGTTCGGATTGTCTGCCACGGTACAGAGTACTGCACTGCATTCTGCAGCAAGCAATTCGGGTGCTTTTGCTGCTACTGCTGCTGCCGCTGCTGCTTGATTTATTAGTCGTTGAGACGCATCGTCGATCCACCGTTGGTTTAGACATTCGTATGGCGTTCTTCTGCAGGCTGGCCCAACGTATCTCATCGCATCGCCCGTCGTGTCGGCCGATGTGCTCGTATTCTGCCAGACACTGACTAACACCGATGTTGCCCATTACGCAAAGGTATGCAAACCGGTCATCCATGGGACAGTCATATTTCCTGCAAGTTGCAATTGAATCCGTGTTCGATCCGACGTGACAGATGCTTGTGGTATGGCTTGTTGATGATTGGCTGTCGATAATATAAGGTCGGCAGCGACCATGAGAAATGATAATGGTGAGTGTGATAAGAGCCGGGAAATGAAGAGTTGCCGCCGCATGACGGACATGCGCGTTCAGACCGCTCGTCCATGGTCCGGACGAACCACACTGATTTGCTGGTGCGAGCAGCCACGGAGATGGCCCTGGGTCTCGGGCGATGCGGTGGAGAACACGAAAAGAAAACACAGCAGGAAAAAAGCACCCAAGCAGCCAAGAAACAATGCCGGCCGGAAACATGTGATGTTGGTTCTGTTTTCTCGGTAGAGGTGCCGTCCCGTTGCCTGCAATGCAATTGCAGCATGCCGTTGGCTGTAAGATTATTGCAGCGACAGAAGGCTTGAACATGGTTTGAGGCGATGGCTGCAGGAGCCAGTCAGCAGCTGCCATTCAAGACATGATGATGAGATGCTGTTCGAGTATCTCTAGTTGGAGACACATGTCATGTAATTGGGTGTCATCAATCAGGGGAATGGAGGTGGCTTCTTGGTGAAAAGAAAAGCCCTGTTGAAACAGACCTCGAAAGGAACGCATCCTCCCCCTTGGGCAGTCGATCGAGGTGATTCACCAACGAAACCTTTGCTGCTTTTTGCCTTTGCCTTTGCCTTTTGCCCTTGGTCATCGTCTTCGCCGCATGGCTCCCTTGAGATGTCAGGGCCAGGCCGTGTAGATCCATTGGCAGAGGCACCACTGAGCAGCTCCCGTCCCGGGCTGGCCCTACCTACACTTGAAAGAAAGAGAACGTCGTATCGTCAGGCCAGAGCTGCAGTGGCCTGTGATGCCCCCCTCCCCTCCATCTCAGTGTGCCCATGGCCCGGTCCCGTCAGGCATCATCGATACCCGATACATGCTAATTAGAGGGAAAGAGGAGTGAGCTCTGGTCGAGAAGCACATCGTATGGAACCTGACTCTGCGGCCCTCAGGCGCTGTGGCCCAGTCAAGCCCAGTGGCCACCCTACAGAAATACCTTCGACTGGGGCAGCTTAGCGCCGCGCAGGGCCGCAGGTACCACCGTGCCACCTTTTCCTGAAAAGTACAAGGGGTCCCGGCAGTCACCACAATCCCCTTTTCTGCCAATGACGTGTGTCACCTGCTGGCCAAACATCAACCCCAAACCTACAGAGGGTCCCCGAGCGGTTGCTTGACCGTACAACACCACCACCGATCCTCCACCTCCACTGCCGCCCTCTACGACTTTAAGTCGTCCACCTCCTTTCTGACGAGAGACCGGCCAACTCGTTTCGCCTCCGCTGACCCAGACTGCTTCTTTGACAACTAGCCGAGCCGCGGTCTACCACGACACACGACGAGTTTACCACGGCCACGATCTCGACGACTGCCCACCGCTCCCCATCGACTGCCTTGCCCCCAGTACCTCAAGTCGAGGTACTATACCTGGGCCTTGCACACCTGGCCATACTGCGCAGGTTCGAGAATGACTACTCTTTCGACATAATCGCTCTCTCGATACCGTCGTATACATCCGATCGTCGAATCCCCGCTTTTACGCACCCCTTGCGACCATGTCGTCCGCTTCTAGGAGCTCGTGGATGCCAAACCGTGGTCTGAGTAGCAACCGCCTGAGCACCAGACCAAGAGGATTCTCCAGAGGAGCTGCTGTCGTCAGCCACGATGATGCATACACATTTGCCCTACGTGTCGCCTACCTCAACTATCTTCTGCAACCGAGACAGAAGCGAAAGCAATATGTGCCCGCACCAAAACCTGCCCAGCGTTCTCATACGAGCGTCACAGAGCTTGTTGGCCAGTTCGTCTCCGGCGGCTCCAACAGCATCAAGCTCCCGCATGGCTTCCAAAAACCTCTTGAGAAGAGAATTAAGAACGTTCTCACCGGAAAGGAGCCGATGCAGGGTTTCAACGATGCAGCTCTCAAGCGCAGCTTCGCCGAAGCCTACACAGCCTTCACCGAGAAGAACTTTCAAAAGTCTGTCGAGAAGGATCGCAAGCTGGAGCCATATGTCCTCATGTTCTACTCTTCCGCCACCAAAGCAAACCAAAAGCACGCCGCGTTAACCTCGGCAGCTGACGATTCGTGGAAGGAAGTGGCCGACAGACATATGGCCATGTTTATTCGACTGGTGGCGCAAACCCTGCGCGATCAGGGGCATGACAGAGACAGACCCGAGTTGATGAGCCGACTGCACACGCTGGAGAATAAGCTGCTTACTAGGGATCAGAACCTTTCCATTGACGCCAGCCAGGACGGAGGCACTACGATCGAGGTCATCGTCCCCTTGAGCTACGACGTGAAAGATATGCCACTGGTTCTAACGGTAGCTCGCATATTTGGCCGCCTGAACTCCGAAGTCCAGACCGATATCGATGCCAACCGCCAAGTCTGGACTGAGGAATCTGCTTTGAAGGACGTAAAAGCGTATCAACAGCGTCTCGCCTCTGACGCTCCTGGCGCTCTCAGAAGCGAGGACTTTGACCTCGAAGACGCTTTTCAAGAGTGGAAGGGATCCGAGGCACCACATCTGTCACAGATCATCCTCGACATCTTGACAGTACGGCCCGAACTTGCTAAGACGTCATCAGGAGCTGATAAGCCTCTCCCTGGGCGACCCATGTCCATGTTTGGCAACCAGCAGGCGTACTCCGAAATCAGCAAGGCGATCTCTAGCCCCGATGGGTCCATTCTCAACTTCGACAGCTCCCTCGGCCTCGGTTCTTTGGGGCTCGAAAACCCCAACGAGAGCTTTGAGGAGGCTGTCTACACGTTTATTCCCCCAGACGCAAGAGCGTTTTACAAGGCCATACTACAGGTGTGCATGACATATGATCAATTACATGCAGATCCTGCTGCCGAATGGACGCCCATTTCTAAACAGTCGACCGACCTACTAATCGAAATTTGCGTCTACTGGCGCATTCCACAATTCTCGAGACTGGTTTGCTTCGTTGAAGCGTCTGCCAAGAAGTTTTTAGACAGAGAAATTGGTGCGGATGAGCTATCTGTCGCCATGGAATACGTCAAGTCTTCTTCGCCCGAAGTGAAGAAGCCCCCACATCTTCATCAGTACAACCTCGGACTGGCTTCGATCGATCAGAGTCGCTGGACAATGCACGATTTTGCCATCTACCAGCAAACATTGAATGCGCTCTATGATGCTCTCCTACGAGATCTCTACGATCTCATGATTCGATGCTACGAGTCCAAGCCGCCACCAATTGTATCAGTGATGATGCTTCTTGAGGAACACATTCTGCAGGATCCTGCGTTTTCTCCGAAACCAGAACAGACTCGGGAATTCGCCAACCATCTTACGGAGGGCTTGAAGCGTGCCGCTACAGAGGTTTATAACGCCTTTGTACACGACAAACTCCCCAATCATGCTTCCGAATGGGAATTTACACATGTTGTCGAACTTGGCCGGGCTGTGACCAAGCTTTCTGACAAGATCAAGAAGCGGTACAAGAACATTCCCGACATCATGGGCGTTCAGCCTTGGCAAGTCTTAGTCGAAGTCATGTTTCCAAGTTTCGAGCGAGACGCACAACACATCATCGAACGAACCATTGCCGTTGCGAAGGAGAAGGGTGTGGAAATCAACATGCAAGATGGTTTTGATCTCTACAAAGAGCTAGTCTCATTGAGACAAACTCACCACGCTGCTCTACCAGACAAGCCGTTCGAGTTTCAGATTGAGGAGCTCCTTGTGGACTTCGTTTGGAGATGGGTGCGCAACGCTGAGACTATGATGGTTGACTTCGTGGGCAACGCCATCAACATAGACGATTTTGAAGTTCGCAAACGGAGTCCCGACGATATTCCCAGCGACGCCGAGCGCCACAGTCTGTCCATCATTGACATGTTCATGTTCTTCAGGCAGACCACGGAACAGGTGTATCAGCTCGAGTGGGATAGTGATGTTCACCATGCCCGATTCATGACTGCCCTTGCTCGTTCCTTTGCAGCTGGAATAGGGCAGTACTGTGAAGAAGTTGAGAAGATGTTCGCCAAGGAGATGGATCGGCCGACTGCCCAGGACGAAGCGGCGGCCAACAAGACAACCCAAGAAATGTTCAAGCAATACGCTCAGATTGCTCGGGATGCTTGGAACAGCAAGGAGGCGCCCGAGCCTTTCCAGTTCTACCCGCAGTCATTTGTCAAGCTTAACAATATCGAATACGCCATGCAGGAGTTGGATAAACTAGAAAAGAGCATGAATGTTGATGCATGCGCTGATGTTTTGCGGAGGGCGGAAGGTGCTAAGCAGCAATCAAGACGACCTAACAAGTACGTCTTCACAATCAAGGTCGTCGAAGCCGAAGACCTGAAGGCATGCGACCCTGGTGGTTACAGTGATCCTTACGTGGTGCTTGGGGACGAGTACCAGAAGCGTCTCTACAAGACGCGGATCGTGTACAGGAACTTGAACCCACGATGGGACGAATCGGTCGATATCACCGTATCGGGTCCTCTCAACGTCATCGCCACCATATGGGATTACGACACCTTTGGTGACCACGACTTTGTTGGTCGTACATCACTAAAGCTTGATCCTATTCACTTTAGTGATTACCTGCCACGAGAATACTGGTTGGATTTGGATACGCAAGGCAGAGTTCTATTGCGTGTCAGCATGGAAGGCGAGCGAGACGACATCCAGTTCTACTTCGGAAAGGCCTTCAGACATCTTAAGCGAACGGAACGAGATATGGTTCGCAAGATCACGGATAAGGTAAGCAAGCAAATGCATATCGCTGACGAAGAAGAGTCTGCTAACCCCCGATTAGCTCCGAGCTCAGATCAGCGCCACCATATCCCATGAGACTTTACGAAGTCTACTAAAGGGTAACGGAATCGGATCTTCCGTGACTGCCTTATGGAAAAAGCGAGCATCCACGATGCCCGTTGTCACTACCCAAGCCGACATCGAGAGCGCCTTGCAACCTCTCTTCCACTACTTTGATCAGAACTTCGCCATTATGAAAGAGACGCTAACGGATGCCACAATGTTGGCGGTCATGACACGCCTCTGGAAGGAAGTCCTCATGGCGGTTGAGAGCCTTCTGGTACCCCCTCTCTCAGAAAAGCCCTCGTCACAAAGACCATTGTCACAGAAAGAATCGGACATCGTTTACAGGTGGCTGGAGATGCTTTTCGACTTTTTCAATGCCAAGGACGAAAGTGGCGAGCAGCTGGGTGTGCCGCAGGAGGTGCTGAGGTCACCCAAGTGGCATGAGCTGGCGGCTTTGAATTTCTTCTACTTCGAGGAAACACAGAATCTCATTCGAGAGTCGGAGCGTATGGCTGCCGCCAACGCTCAGCGGGCGCAGCAGATGTTGCTACAGGAAAAGCACGAGAACCGATTGTCCGCACCGGCGACTTTCGGTCCAACCTTCAGCGGCGGTCCCGGCTCTTTTGCTAGCATGGGCACGATCCGTCGCGGCAAGTCCATCATGATGAGCCGAAATCTGGGAACGATGCGGCGGGCCAAGGAGGAGAAGCGCAAAGAGGCCCAGGCGGATCCCAGCGACGATATGATTCTTCGTATTCTCCGCATGAGGCCGGAGGCGGCTCCGTACCTTCGCGAAAGACACAGACAAAAGGAGCGACAGGCGGCCGCCGCCGCTGCAGCACTTATCGTCAAGAACAGCGTAAACCAAGGGTGGAACTCGGGTGGTGCGGGCGCGTACGGCCGCAACAACCTCCCCCGGAGGTGAGGAAGGTGAACATTATGAGCTCGATGTTTTCTTGTTGAACGGAGGCGGCGTTGGCTTCCTCGGTCTTCAATTTTTTGGCTTTTGCGTGCGTTGTTTGCTCGTTGTAGAAGGAGATGGATGGAACATTTCGATACCAGAGGCCGAGAGAGCAGAACGAATGGTTGACGGGATGGGAGACATGACATACACACACACGACGCAGCAACGGCTTTTTTGATATCTCTTTTTCTTTTCCTTCTGCAAACAAATCTTTGGTAGCGGTCCAAGGAATCATGACAAGATGTAGATACCCTCGCTACGATTCTTAATATCCCACCACCCCCCTTGACCGACGGCGGCGCCTTTGTTTACGGAGACTTGGGGTTCATGGTTTTTGCGTTCTCTCTTGGTTGGCATTAGATTGCAGTTGGTAGCAGTTGGAGAAATGCGACACCATACCGTACGATTGTGCTTTCTATTGCCTGTGATTGTCTTTGTGCGGGTGCGGCTTGTATAGTGTCGTTTGTCCAGGAATTGCTGGTTAGATGGGGGTTTAGCTGTAGAACTGAGGAATTGCGGTTACCCAAGGGGGAGAGTCATCGATTCATCAGCATAACGTGTCCGACGGCAACAAAAACAGGACACAAGTGCTACTGCTATTGCTGGTTGGGTCACAAACTGGGAAGGGTTAACCACTACAGCCAGGCAGGGACAAGCACAAGCAAGAGGGGAATTGCCCTGACATGTACGTTTGCTCCAAGTTGGATGGTTCATCTCGAATAAGGCGAGTTTTGTAGCTTCGTGATTTGATGACAATTTTTTTTTCACAGCCAAATACAGCTAGCTATATGTGCGCCGAAGAGATTGAGAGCTAGGGGTTCAATGATTAAGCCGCGACGGCGACTTTGACTTGAGTTCCCATTTCTATGAAGCAACACCAGTACCAGCCACCGCCTCGACCGTCGTAGGCGCCTGCAACCGCTGCTGCTTGACTTCATTAGCGGCCACGAGCGCGTCGTCGAGTGTGTCCAGGAGATCTTGCACGTCCTCCAGCCCTGCCGATATCCGTATCGTCTCCTCCAAAATACCGTACGAACGATGGTACGCCGCCTCGTCGGCGTCCTTGCCGAATGCAAGAGTGTTGTAGCAGAAGCTGAGCGTGCGGTGAGCGCCCAAATGGGGACCCGGATAGAAGGCGAGGCGGTCGTAAAATGCTTTTGCCGTATCGACGGACTCAAAGTCGATGCTGAGCAAGCAGCCCGCGCCTGGCTCCTCGAGTTCAGGGGTTGGCCGCCTAAGGTAAGATTTGTAAATATCATAGTCTGGGAGACACGTTGGGTACAGAAGTTTGGATACTGGCGAGGAAGTGTCTTCAGCCAGGCGCTGGAGGTGGGCGGCCATGGCCGCGGCGTTGCGGTTGAGGATCGCAGTTCGGGCGATGTAGTCGTCTGAATTAGACAGGAGGACTTCAGCATCAGCGGTAAAGAGTTCGTTGTGGAAATTTTTGGCCCAGTGAGAGGAGAGGTCGTCGTAGTGTGGCGAGAGAGGGTTCAAGACGACGCTACCTCCCATGACGTTGGCGTACCCGGAGAATGTCTTCGTCAGTGATGAGACGAGGATGTCTGACTGTGCGATAACGTCAATGTTGGCGAAGGACCCGACTGTATCGTCGAGGACGAGAACGAAGTTATGCTCCTCAGACTATTGCCGGTGTTAGCTATGCGACGTTGGTCAACGGAGATGCAAAATCAGACTGACCAGCTTCTTCAGACGAGCAAGATCAATGCTCGCCAGCAAAGGGTTGCTAGGGAACTCGGTGAGAACGTAGCTCACATCCTTTCCAACGGCGGCCTGTTCATCCAACCACGCCTCAAAGATGTCTATGCCCTTGGGATCAACGGGACCGAAATGCTTATAGCCATGGGGCGAGTTTTCTTGAATGTAGTGAACAGTACTGTGAAACACGATGCCCAGAATCGCTACACTGCCAGGACGATACTGAAGTAGCGCATGGTGGGTACTGAAAATCGCAGCCATGCCCGTCTGGTACAAGAACACATCCTTGCTCTGGACTTTGATCTTCTCTGGCTCGATGGCAGCTCTGTGCAGAAGCCCCGTAATGCGCTCCTTGAGCTTGCCGTGGGCCTCTCCCTCCGAAAGGTACTCTGTGGGAGGCACCGTCGAACGGTCGGGTAAGTCGACTTCGGTCAACGAGTCAATGTTCTTGTGCAAGTACTCTGCGAGACGGATGGAAACACCGATACCGGGATTCTGCCAGGCTCCAATGACACCAGGCGTCTTCGCGGCGGGGAACGTCACAAGGTAGATGCGCACACCTCCAATGTCGACGCAGCGATGTCCGAGGTCACTTTCCGCCAAGACCTTCTCCTTGCGATTAGGATGGGTAGAGTGAGCGCGGACAGCATCTAGAGACTGGGGCGAAGTGAAGTAAAGGGCTCCATGACCCTCTGGTGTCTGTATTTTGGCGCAGATAGCTCTGAGTGTCTGGACGGATGTGCGTCAGCGAAGCTATGGTTCAGCCACATGATACGGACGGGATCTCGATGTTGATTGTACGTGTTAGTATGGAAAGTGCTGACCTCGCCGACGGGGCCGAAAGGCCCAAATCTTGGATATATGTGAACGACTCGCTTCATGATGTTTGGATCGCCTTCACGGAAGGCAATGGCGGAATCCCAACCCGGTGCGTAGGTTGTGATGCCATATTGAGAATCTGGAGGCACGCAACGGCCGAATTCTGACGCTGGTTTGAGCACAGGCATGATGCGTCGTTATAATATTCCTTGACGGAAATGAAGATCCAACTGTGGTTGGGGAAAAGAACGAGTTCAAGCAGATATAAGAGTTGGAAGCTGATAACTCCAACAGCTGAGCGGGGGCTGACACGACCACAAGTTCGGAGAGATGAACGCCACGAAGATACCTACCTATGGAGTGGACTTAACAGTCTAAATCCATCGGCCCTGCGATATCGTCCAGCCAAAGAGGGGCTCGGTAGGCAGCAAGTAAGACATACCCACCGCCCCTAGGGAGGCAAATGGAAGCTGCGAAGCTGCCTTTAGCCGCCTGCACCTCCATGTGTCTCGATCTCCACCAGCCATTGTCAACAACCTGAGATGTCGGGGTTGTGGGGCGGTGTTCCCATCTGAGCTACAAAAGAACGACTATACTGAGCAGGGTATTTTCCCACAGCACACCAATGGGTGAAAAAAGATTGGGTTAGGTAGACAAACAAGGTTGCATATCATTCGCAACGTCGGATTCGAGCTACCAGAAGCTTGGGTTGCTCACGTCAGCATGGAATGTCGAATCCTACGGGGCGCGACAGCAGAGCTCAAAACGGCAAGAAGTGCTAGCAAGAACGTATATCATTGGAGCGATGAGACCTCGCAGGATTGGAAGCAAAGCGCGCATCTGCGCAAGCTTTATGTCAACGCATAAGCTTGGGGAGAGGGCAACGCGACCATTCGGTTAGCGACTTATCTTGAACCATTTGATCCGTCCATTTTTGTCTACTTTCTCTTCTTAGGTACAGATATATCCAATACTCATTGATATGGCACCAAAATGCATCACAACAAACGAAACAGGGTTGACAAAACCACCAATGCTGATCGACCATAGAGCACTCGCTTCATACTACAAGATACAAGGAAACTATTTTCCGGGAGATAAAAACACAAAGCCTCACCAGTACTGACGTTCTCTACCCTCAAAAGCAAAGTTGAGTACCACGGCGATGAACAACGCACCGCAAAGCGCGCTGGGACCCCAACGGTCGTAGAATTTGGCCGCTCTCCTGGTACGGATTGCCTGGCTTCTGTACAGGTAGATTGCGACAGAGTAGCAGAGCGACAGAATGGCCAGCAAAGTGAAGACTCCGGCCACGATGAACGAGGCACTGGTAGGCTTGGAGCCGAAGTTGAGCAGCGTGACGGCGACAGTGCCGACGTAGATTGAGAATTCGAGCTAGATGATCAAGTCAGCAGCAATTCTGATGTCAGATTCTTATGGCAACTTACCCAGCCTAGGAAGGTCCTTTCAGCTGCGAAGTAAACCTTGGGCTCAACGCGGACGGGGACGTAAATCTTCTTGCCCTTGGGCGCCTTGAACCTCTTAGTCTGAACAGGGCCGGTGCCGAAAAGCTGCGTGGTTGCCTCTCGCCTAGGAATCACTGAGCCACGGGGATGGGGCACAGCCCATTTCAACACATCGACAGCACCCTGCCCGAAAGCGCGGGCCTTCGTTGATGCCAAAGTCGAATAGTAAGTCCAGCCGCCAACTCTGCGCGCCTCCTCCAGAACTTCGTCCGCATCGTACTCCTCGTCCGAGTCGTACAAGAAGTCTTCGCCTTCGAGGGCATCGGTCGTTTGGTCTTCGATATCGGCCGCACCATTCCTCGCAGCTCCTTGGCGACTGGACTCACCGTTCGTGGTACCGTTGTTGCTGAGTATCAAAGCTCCCTCCTCGTCATCAGAGTCAAGGTCATCATCCTCGTCATCTGATGTTGTAGCCGTCGCCGACTGGTTTGGTCTGTGGATGCCAAAGTCGTGTGTAGCCGGCTTTCTGATATCGACATCCATCTGCGGCATCCAGAAGGGAAGCAGATTGATGCGATCAGGGAATAGGCAAGCAACACCATGGATGAACTTCGAAAACTTGGGCACGGCCTCCACAAGATGGCTGGATATCAGCTGACGCACCCATTCCGGAGGCTCCTGACCAAGCTGCGTCTGCAGCTTGACTTCGAGGACCGCATACGGGAAGCGCACGATGTCGCTTGGCGGAAGCTGCGAGAAGGGATAGTCAATACCAATATCCATCCGCCTCCAGTTGTCGCCGGAGCGATTGACGCCGTCGAGGTTGTCTTCCCGAACCATGGTGAGTTCAGTGTCCAGAGAGATACGGACACGAGCATCGGCGGGGAGCTGGAAGGCAGTGCGGTTGTAGAAGGATCGGCACACGGGCTTGTAACCCTTCTTGAGAACAGAGTATTGGACTTCCGCAGCGAGCCTCTCGTCCTCGGCAATCTGCTTCTCAGGCTTCTTGCCCTCCTTGCGCGCCTTCTCGAAGAGAGCTGCCGGCAGAAGCTCACCTCGCATGTACGAGTTGACGTTCTTCTCCTTAAGAGAGAAACGCGCCTTGACGGATTTTTCTCCTGTCCAGTCCTCACGATGGGTCTTGCGCTCAACAAAGATGTTCTCGCTCTGCATCCCACCGTACCATCTCAAACGGATAGCCTCGGCTCCCTCCGTCTTTTTCAGACGGCCCTCGTACAGGTCCCAGGCACTCGGGTTGTCGTAGTAAATGGATGTAATTGCCGAGTCCTGTGTCTCGAATTCCTTGCTGGCGTTGAAAACCAGGACGGGCAAGTGCTTCAGGATGATGAGCTTCAACTCGGTCACGTTGTCGGGGTGGACCCAGTATTTCGTCGTGTTACGAACGAAGCTTCCCTGAGAGCCACCAGCGGCGCTGTCACCCTTAACCGGGTTTCCTCTCGTCCTCACCAAGTCGTACAGCTTCGACAGCTTCACTACGGAGGCATCGTAGTTCTCCTTGTAGAAAGGCTTCGCCTTCAGTCGGGTGTCGAAAACAGGCTTGAGGTGCCAGCCAGTCATTTTCTGCGTCGCATTAGCCCAACATCCAGTTGCCGAAGTCACGGCATAAACTTACGTCGTGCTTCTTGATAATCTTATAAAACCCAGTATAGTTGAGCTGGACAAACTTGGCAAGATCATGCACATCGGCAATGATGTCGCTCAAGTCCTCCTCCAAGAGCATGAACTCCTCTTCGCTGGGGCCATCCTCGCGAGGGCCGCGCTCGATGAGACGATTGACGACGCCTCTAACCTCGCGCTCGCTCACGGCGATGCGCCTCGAAATCTCCATGGCCTTCACCTGCTGCTTGGTGTGCACCTTGTCAAGCTCGGCCTCGAGCTTCTTCACGAAGCGACCCTCATCCTCCTCGGACCACTCGCGCTTGATGCCCTTGCCTTTGCCATTGTCGGTCGAGATGACCGGGCCGGTGGCTGTTTTGAGGTCGGCCTTGAGGGCATCGTAGTCGATGTAGTACCACTGGTACTCGCGAATAATGCTCGAACGGAGCTGCTCGCCGAACTTCATGACGACGATTCCAGGACGGGCGCGCCAGGGTTCGCTGGGTGCTAGACTCGGTCGCCAAGTTCGTTCCTGTGTCTTCAGGTCGTGGACAATTAGCATGAGGAATTGTCGCGCCGAAAGGAGACCATTTTCGGAGACTAGGGACTTAAAAGTCTGTTGTCGGTGAAAGCCTTCCAACCGAACCAAGGATGGTGCCTTTTGCGTTTTGAGGCATAGGTTGACCAAGGTTCCAGGGAAACGGTGGAGTCTATCGAAAGGGATACCTTTTCGTAATGGAGATGGGGTCTCACCTATGCAGCTTTTTAGCCGTACTACCCGGATGGCGCAGAAGTAAAATGTTCCAATAGTTGGTGCGAAAGATGCGCAAGTTGAGGAACGTTCGCCTGTCGCGGTCGGGTCGCCCAGGCAAAACAAATGGGAGGCGATGGAATGGAAGCGGCCGACGGTCTACGAGACAAGCTTCCGGCAGGGGGGATTGCCTGGCCTGCAGCAGAAGTGGCTCTGACGATGGAGCCCCAAACCCAGTAAAATGCAGCTTAGACGCGGCTAGCTCCAGGCCGTCTGGGCCCAGTGCCCGCTGCTACCCAGAGCTCTTGGCAGGGGGCATTGGCCAATGGAGAACGGCAAAAGAGCACGTGCATCCCCGTACGTCACAGCGCCTTCAGTGTGAGGAAGGATTTTTTTTTTGGCCCATGGCGGGGTTGCAGCGGCGGGGGACCACCACCCGGAGCCGTCGAGAGAAAACTCGTTGCAAGGCTTGCTTTGCGCCGGCCGGCCTCCAAATTACCACGGACCGGTCCCCGCCGCACCGATCCCCGATCGAAGTCTTTTTTCAGACCCGAATCCTTCCTTCCGATCCCAGACACTCCGGTTACGGACACCGCCCTTGGCTACGCCCGGTCAACCCCTTACCTCGCAATCATGGCGATCGACGACTCGTTGCAAGCGCGCATCACCACCGACTGTCCGGAGGAGACCCGACAAATCCTCCTCCACGCCTGGAGCCATGATGTTTCCGAGCTAAAGAAGCTCCTCGATGCCCCTGGCAAAGCAAGCGTGCAAGACCCCACGACCGGCGAGACACCTCTCCATGCCGCGATCCGCGCATGCGGACCTGCAAAGGAGAATGGTGATATCGAGGAGGCCAAGGAGACGGTCTACGAGCTCTTCCTTAAAGGCGCCATCTGGAACGACGTCGATGCCAACAACGAGACACCAGGCTGCCTTGCTCAGCGCCTGGGCCAAAGTGAGCTCTACAAGCTCTGCGTAGAGGCTGGCGTGCGCGCCGAGCTGCTGTTCGGCTTGCTGGACGGCTACGAGGAGTTGGGCTCTCAGATGGACGAAGACGAGGAGTTGGAGGTGATCGAGGAAGCCGAAGCCATGGAGGCTGACGTTCAAGATGGTGAAGAGGCCCCCGAGCTCGTCGAGGTGGAGAAGAAGTTCGTACCGCCGACGGTCGCCGACCCGGACGTCAAATCGGAAGAGTACCTCCGCTCAAATCTGACCTACTCAGACGGCAAGCTTGTCGATGACGGCGGCAACGGCGTCATGATGGCCTGGGAGACAGAAATCATGCGCAGGAGCGTCGACGCTGTCCTCCCTGGCCTGGCTGTTGGCAAGCGGATCCTCAACGTCGGCTTCGGTATGGGCATCATCGACGCCATGTTTGCCGAGACCAAGCCCTCCAGACACCATGTCGTTGAGGCGCACCCCGAGGTGCTCGAGCACATCGACAAGTCCGACTCCAAATTCGGGGCAGCGTGGGAGGCGAGTGGACCCGAGGAGGGCGCATACAAGATCCACCGCGGACGCTGGCAGGATATCGTGCCCAAGCTACTGGAGGAGGGTGAAATTTACGATGCCATCTACTTCGACACTTTCGGCGAGGACTACGGCCAGCTGAAGATGTTCTTCACGGAGTTCATACCTGGCTTGATGGACGAGGCAGGCCGTTTCAGCTTCTTTAACGGCCTTGGAGCTGACCGCAAGATATGCTACGATGTTTATACCAAGGTTGTGGAGATGCACATGGCCGATGCAGGCCTGGACATCGAATGGGATGAAATGGACGTCGACATGAAGGGTCTGGAAGAGGCAGGCAAGGGCGAGTGGGAAGGTGTGAAGCGCCGGTACTGGACTTTGGACAGTAAGTTAACCCCCGACTTTACCTCACTGGTCACGTACTAACACCACTTCAGAATTCCGACTGCCGACGTGCACATTCCTGGGTTAACTCCCAGATAGGGATACTGATTGTATGAGCTATCTAAAAGCTTTGGTAAACGTAACCATATGAGCCCGTCCAGATAGGAACCGAATCAGCAAAATCCCGTCTAATCCTGTAACCTTATCGCGTTCCTTTTTCATACCGCTCCATTGGGATTTTATTTAAAGTTCTCAGGGTGCAGAATGCCGGCCATGTTGCCTTGCTGAACGCGCTTCAGGGTCAGGGCGGCAATAAGAGCGGCACCAACACCGCTGCCGTCCTCTGCAGCGAGAATCTCGACGGGGTCCTCCTCCTTGGTGCTCTTCTTGGCGGGCCAGTCGAGGATCTCGCGGAGAGCTTGGGCGCCACGAGCCTTGAAGTGAGGGTACTTGTTGAATACCGAACCGTCAGCGCCAACGTGGCAGCTCTCATAGCCCTTCTTCATGCAAATGGCGGCGACACCGCAGGCAGAGAGGCGGGCAGCACGAGTGCCGATGAGCTCAGCAAGGCGGCGGATGAGCTCCAGCTCGGGGCGAGTAGCCTTGAGGCCAAGCTTGGAGGCAAACAGATCGCTGGTCTCTTGCAAGTTCTCGAACGGGTCGCTGTAACATGTTAGTTCTTACACGCACACAGGGTGCCAGATTGTTACGTACTCCTCGATGGCGGACAGGAAAGAAGAGTCCAGGGTGTAGGCCTTGCGGAGCTTGGCGATGTCCTGGTTCTCAAAGATGTGGATGGACTTGTTGTCGTGGAGGTCAACAAGGACCAAGCGGAAGATCTCGCCGAGATAGAGGCCGGCGATCATCTTCTCGAAAGCTTGCTGGCCGGGACGAGGGGAGTCCTTGTCGATGATGATATCGTAGGGGGTGCGAGGCAGGACCCGGTGTTCGTTGTCAAAGGCACCCCACTCGCAGTTGATGGCCATGGGGGTGTCAGGGGGCAGGTTCATGTGGGCGAGCTTGGGAATGGAGCCGCAGTTCTCCATGTAGGCGGCGTTGCAACCAGTGCCGAAAATGCAGCCAATCTTCATCTTGGTGTCGGTGTAAGCCGAGGCAATCAGAGTACCGGTAGTATCGTTGATCAGAGCCGTGAGCTTGATAGGGACGTTCTAGGGACATGTTAGCACATGCGGCAAATCCAAGGACCTTTCGCGCCCTTACTCTCTTAGCCAGGGCCTCCTCAAGGAAGGGGACCACATTATGTCCCTCAACACCGTCGATGTCGAAGCCCTTGGTCCAGCGCTGAAGGATACCCTCATCGATGTAGTTCTGGGTAGCAGGGTAGGAGAAAGTGAAACCGAGGGGAATCTTCTCGTCCTTGGGATGATCGGGGTGGTGAGTGTCGACGAATTGCAGCAAGCAGTCGGCGATGTACTCCCAAAGCTCATCAGACTTTCCGGTCTTGAGCTCCTCGGGCATGCGGTACTTAGACTGAATGATGTCGAACTCGGACTTCTGGTCGGTGAGGGTGATCTCGCAGACACGGAGGTTGGTGCCGCCCATGTCGAGAGCCAGGAAGGTGCCAGTTTCATAGCCATCTGGGAAGGACATAACCCAGGTCGGGTTCATGGGCTAGTACTGTAGTCAGAAAACCATGTAGAAGCTGGCTCAGTCCTTATTGTCATGACTTACGATGCTACCGCCCTCGACACTCAGACCTATCTTCATATTAGCGGCTATTCAGATGCCGACCTTATTTACAGTTGAGACTTACCCTTGTCAAGCTCCGAGATGAAGTGCTTGCTGATAGCCTTGAGCTTCTCGGTAGGCACCGTGAACTGCTGCTCAAGCTTCTGGACCTCCGCAAGAAGGTCCTTGGGCACATCGGCCATGGAGCCTAGAATTTCACTCATGGTTAGCGATCGCAGTAGAAAGATAGGCTCCTTGGTAGGAATTGCTTGCTTTTCCGTGAGGGATTGGGATTAAAGATATCGGTATGGTGGTAGGAGCGCTCCCTTGTATGGGGCGCGATTGCCTTGTCGACCATGATGAAGGGTGAGAGGGATAAGACTAGACAAAGGTTGTGCTTGGAAATACCGCTCTCAAGCTATTTGCTCAGCCTCTGGGCACGCGACTTGTTTCGTGTGAGGGTATCACCAGTGATCGAGGAGTGAAAGCAGATGTGTAGATCTGAGCAACAAAGGGCAAACAGCAACAGACAAGCAGGGAGCGGTCAACACAAAGCAGCCAAGCAGACAGGAACGGCGCTTGCCAGCTTGTTATACCAACTGGCAGCTCTGGGGAAAGAAGAAAGCTGGGGTGAAGGTGGGGGAGTGTCTGATAAGTGAGACCGTGTCCCAGCTCAACGCTAAGTATTTGGGCACCTTTCCCAATGAAATAGGCATTGCTTGACAAGCTACCCCTTTGCCCTGGGGTATCTCCGTCGGAGTAGCTCAGCAGAGCAGCCCAGCCTTGTGGCGCACCGTGTACTCCGACCCAGGAGGCGTGGGAAACGTCAAAGTGGCAGCCAGGAATGGCATTGGGTGATGATGTAGGTGTGTGCGGGATGGGGATAGGAGGATGAGGCGTTGAGGAGGCCGGGAGGGTGTGACGCCTGCATGAGTTGCGTGGTGTGGGAGCGGTACAATTGCCAGCACTTTCGATAGTAGGGTGTCTCGAGCATTGTCTCAATCAAAGACCAGGGTCCGATGGCTCCGTTCCCTCCATCTCGAATGTTCGGACAGTCGATCCGGGGAAAACAATGGAAGAAATCGTGAGTTTGAACTTACCCTTCCTAGAGGGCGGGACCTTGGGACCAAGACCAACCATTTTGACCGGTAGCTCTGGAAAATGGCGGGGTAAAGATGGTGAGGGGTCGAATTTAGGTTGTAGGTGGTGAAAGAGGCAACGGGGATGTAGGTCGATTCAAATGTGAAGTGAAATGCTCGAGGACGACAAATCCGTGGTGTTGCTGTATAGGTGGGCGGTCAAGCAGTTCGTGGTGGTGAGAGATACCAACTGCTGTGACGTTGAGGAAAGGGCGAAGGTGCGTGGATCAGATGACTGAAGGTGAGAGGTCGGCCGTACGAATAGAGCTTCTTGAGTGGGCTCAGGAAGGTGCAGCGTGGAGGGGTCCTGCGCGGATTGGAAGCAAGGCGTCTCACAGGGGACCTTGACCAGACCTCATTTTTAGCACACACTGTAGACTGCACGCTCCTGCACAATCTGTGGCCCCTGCCTTTCTCTTGGTCTTGGGTCGAGTCCTGATCCCCGAAACCGCTGAGGTAGAAAATCAGCACACCTTGAATTGCCAAAGCTGTGACTGAACGGGGCCAATTGGCAGCTTTCAGACATGCGATTTTTTTTCTCACTCATCGTCTGTCCCACTAGGTGCCGCGGAGCAGAGCCGTCAAGCCCCGTCCAGTGGTTATTACGAGATTTGCAGCGGCCTTACTCAGCTGGGATGCGCCCCGGAACGCCGTAGCGATAGCGGTCTGTTGTGGACCGGGTTGCTTTCTAGGGCTAAACTGAACTTAATTGTTCTGAGCCTTTGCTAGGTAGGGGTATGTTGAGCCTCCGAGACATGCTTCAATAAGGTCAATTATACGTGTTCGGTGGGCTTGAAGACCGGTGCCTATGCCCGGGTCAGACGGTATCTTGGATGAACTCCAGCATCTCCAGGATCTTGGATAGGGTGCCTGACACAACACCCATCCCAAACTCCGGAGCTCTCGGTGTGTGACGTGGAGCAAATCGCAGCTCAACCACAGCGCAGAGAGAAGCTGTTTGCCCCACCAATACCCGAAGCCAATCGTCATTGGAAAAGCAGGTGCCCCGCAACGCCAAGCGAGAAGCAAGCTGAAGTGTCAGAAAATGTCGTTGAGGTGGACGGCCAAAGTGTGGCTGGAGCTATGCTCTCTAGCCTCAGATTAGAGACGCTGGCCGCGTGGCCTGCCCCCGGAAATGTGGCAGGTGCCAGAGGACGGGCCCGACCTGACTGGCGGGAAGGACTGCCGGACTTGCATTGACCCGAGCCGGCGGTTCCCAGCTGGAGTTGGCCCGTGCGCGCCGTCAAGCAACGTATCCGTAAGCTTTTGGCTGGGGGTAGCTGTCTCAGGAGCCAGATCATCAACTCGGCAATGGAGTGAAAGCCCCAATTGCGCCTCAACAACCGCTATTTTCCATTTCTGATTCTCACTGCCGGGAGCGCTCTGTAAATGAGCATCTCCTTCGACTTTTCCACATTATGAGAGCCTTCGCCATCGCCGCTGGGCTTCTGAGCCTGCTCTCCCCAGTTGTCGCAAGCTCCGCCGCGGCAGACAAGTCGGAAGTCAATCAACCATCCACCTTCAAGCCGCCTCAGGTCTTCAAGAACGCCAATCTTGTACACATCATCTCCCTCGAGAAGAACTACGTCAAGGAGTCAATCAATGTCCTGATCGAGAACATTGATAAGCAACCCCAGGATGAATACTATCTGCCATTCACCCCCGACCAGATGTCGCGCGTTGGCGGCTTCGAGGCCAAGGATAGGAAGGACCCCGAAGCTGGACCCTTTGCTGTTGACGCTGTTGAGTTCGATCCTTCGAGGTCGGTACAACCCTGATCCTTCTCGTGCCCACCATTGTGCTGACAGCCTAGCAGCGAGATTCAGTACTACAAGATCAAGCTTCCCGCGCCCTTGAAGGCCGGCGGCCAGCAGACCCTGAGCATCTCCTACTACCTCCTCAAGGCCTACAAGCCCCTACCCGCCGCGATCGCCCAAGAGGAAAACCAGTTCCTCGCCTACGACTTTTCAGTGTACGCTCCCTCGGCCTACGTCACGACGAAGCAGAAGACCGAGCTCAAGTCACACTCGTCCAACATCCCCGATTACACCAAGCTCCCTGGCAGCGGTGACATCAAGGAGTTCCCTCAGAAGGCCGGCTCGAAGCTCACCTACGGCCCCTTTGACGAGAAGCCCGCCGGTGCCGTCTCCAAGGCCCAAGTGCGATTCGAGTTCACCAAGCCCGTTACTCACGTCTCCAAGCTCGACCGTGACATCGAGGTCAGCCACTGGGGAGGAAACGTGGCTTTCGAGGAGAGATACGAGCTCTACCACCGCGGTGCGAACCTGGCCAAGCTCTTCAACCGTGTCAAGTGGCAGCAGTCGCAATACTTCAACCCCAACACCTACGCTCTGAAGGAGTTGCGCTTTCCCCTGAAGGTTGGCAGCGCCGACGCCTATTTCACCGATGCTATTGGCAACGTTTCGACGTCGAGATTCCGTAGCAACAAGCGCGAGGCTCTCTTGGAGATCAAGCCCCGCTACCCCGTGTTTGGTGGCTGGAAGTACCCCTTCACAATCGGCTGGAACTCCGATGCCAAGAACTTCGTCCGCACCGTTGACGCCGGAAAGTACGTTGTCAATGTGCCTTTCCTCGAGGGACCTAAGCAGCCCGAGGGTATTGAATACGGCCAGGTCAACCTGCGCATCCTTCTCCCCGAGGGAGCCACGTAAGTAACATTGTAATTTACCTCATGCGAGGGCCCGCTAACTTGCGAATAGGAACGTCAAGTTCTACACCAGCATTCCCCAGTCGGCCATCGCTGACTCGGCTGTTGGCGTCCATCAGACCTACCTCGACACCGTCGGTCGCACCTCTGTTACCCTCAAGGCTCAGAACCTTGTTGACGAGTTCCGAGACCGCGAGGTGATTGTAACATACGACTACTCGGTGGTTTCTGCTCTGCGGAAGCCTCTCATCGTCTTCGCCAGCATGGTGTTTGTCTTTGTTGCGGCTTGGGTTGTTGATGGACTGAACCCTACGATCGCGAAGAAGAAGTAAAACAGACTATAGACCTCGGAGGCGGCTTTTCCTAGCATTTGTACATTATCATCAGACGGCATCTAAAAGCAGATGGAACGGATGGCTTTAGAGAATCATGATTGGACTGGCACACTGATCTTCGCGCTGAGAAATAGTTGACCGCTGTCATTTTGAACCTGTGTGGAAGGGTACCTTTTCCCTCAGCAAATATTACGGGTAGGGCCTACGCCTACAAGATTAGCTCTCGGAAGGTCTGTCGGGAAGGTCTTCGAGAAGTCATCCCTGCTGCTTTTCCTACAAGCCGCCGGGGAGATGCAGGCTGACGTCGCGGGCTGACCAAGGTGTGTGCGGTGAAGACGGAGTGTGAGTGGATCGGCTGGGAAGATCAGATCTTAACTCTGCTATTAGCAATACAGAGGGCACTAGGAGGTCATCAATTAGACAGTCCCACCGATGGGATCGTCCACGGATTCATGGGACAGGAAGTCCAGGCTCGTCTGCACTACACTGGGTTGGATCCGTCGAGGTTTTTGGTTGATTTCTTGGTTGATGTTTCTTGCTTTCACTGCAGGACGAGCTCGCAACGACTGTAACGGTAACGGTCACTGTTGCCGTTTCTGGGCGGCTTCCGTATTCACTCAATGACAGCCCGGCTCTGGCCAGCTGAGAAAGTCAGGCCCTCAGAGGAAGCTTTGTTTGGTTTGAGGCCCTACACGATCTGTGACTCAAAACATCAAACTCTCTGCAACTTAGACCTCTCTCTTCTTTCCCCTGCCCTCGTCGATTCCAAAATAAAATCCAACTTCTGACCTTTTTTCGGGGACTCTTCTGCTAGGGCGACTCGGCGGGATGTCTCACGCGGATCAAACTCAGTTGGGGAGACCCTGGCTGCTGCACAGCGGTCTGGACTGGACTGCTGGTGAATGAGGCGGCGCCAGTTTTAAAAAGCAAGGATGGCAGGCCCAACGCTCGATGGTCCCCCGCCGCCGTCGCTGCTGATGGCGGCGGAACGGAGCAAGGGTCAGAACCAGGGCAGCTGCGCCCAAGAACCTGGAAGCAAAGAGCAGCAGAGATGCGCTGAGCCACTTACCACAACTGCATAA